GCCGCGGCAGGGTCGGGGCCTGTCAGGAGCCCGTGTGACTCCGCCGTGGGATGGTTACCCCCGAAACTTGTCACAGCTCTTGCCAGCTAGCGGTGTGGTTTGTGTCGGAGGATACGCATTTGTTTTTGCGAGTCTGTATTTTCATACTTTTTCTCTCCCTATCCCTCCCTGTTCCAGTCGCTGATCGAGCTCTTCGTGAACAGGCTGGACTCGGTTGAGTCGGTTCTGCCCTATGAGTATGATGCGTAAGTACATCGCAACAGGCTTCCAGAAGCGTTTGGAAAGGCTGTTTTCTGTTTTCAGTGCAGTGATGCAACTCCTGATACCGTACACGTGTTTCTTATAAGCGCTGTTTTGGATGTGGGTGTGGGAGGGTAAATTCAGTGCTCAGCGGCAGGAGTGAAATGCGGGAGGGTGGAAGGGATGAAGGACACACCTGTGCCTCCTGACTGTTCTCTGTTATTGTTAAGGCTACTGGGTTTCTGATGGATGCATTTTTTTGAGCTGAGTGCTACGTTTAGTGTTGACTGTTTGACACGTTTGAAAGTTCTTCCTGTTGGTCAAATCTAGGAAGACAGGAGCTTTGTATTCCTTGTTTTTGGCAACTAAAAGAAATTGAAGAGGTCATTGTTATTTTTCCCTTTTCCACCAAAGCTCTCTATCTAATTCTTGGTTTTCTTTTTTGATTGTTGTCTGTGAAAACAATTACCTGCTTTTGCAGATACTTACAGGCCTGCAAAGCAGTGATACACAATATGATTTGCAGTCTTGCTGTTGAGCATACAGAGAAGAGAAACTTGCTGGTATTGCAGGTCTGATGCTGTGTAGTGCAACAGTAACAGCGAGACCAGAGACTAGATTGAAAACTCCACAATGTCTCTATTTGCATTAACCTTTATGAAAGCCAATTAATTTAGGACTGCTTATTGAGGATGAGTATTTATTCACCAAAGAGAAGTGGTGGGGTTTTTTTCATAACTTACTGCTACCTGTATTTAAATAATGAAGATCTAGAATGGTTACATTCTCTCTTCCATATTTAGCTGTTTCAGACTGCATGTAGTTGAAAAGAATTAGTGAATGGCATTTGGCAGTGTGGCACATGAATATTAAAAGCACTTCCCTTTCTTAGAACGTGTTCCACATGAAATGGTATTTGTAAAGACTCCTTTGAGAAAGGGGTGTAGTTATTTTTCTGAAGCTTTTTTGTGACAGAAATGGACAGTCTATAGCATAGTCTTTTTTTCTTAATATGGAACATTCCATTGTTTGTTTAAATTGCCATTTGAAAAGGGTGCTTGGACTAATCATCATGCATTTTGTTAAAGTTACTTCATCTGTGATATACGTTGGTTGAAATTGATATCAAAATAGAAATATTTCTATATAATTTATGCCAAATTTATTTGCAAAGGCACTCAGATATTTACTAACAGTGGCTGACCTGCTGAAAGAAGCATGAAAACTGCTATGTTAAGGATGTAACTCAAGAAATAGTTTTAGGCTGATATTTGCAGTTATATGTCAATTAAAAATTAAGGGTAATATTTTCCACTTTTTTTCCAGTTTTGACTTCTGTCAAGATACAGAAGAGAAAAGACCATCAGAGAATCTTGGACAAGTGCTGTTTGGGGAGAGAATAGCATCGTCTCCATATAAGGTTATTTTATCCCTTGAAGTTGATCCTGTTTAAATTTGATAGCTGCCATTCTGATGGCTGTAATCCATTGACATACCTGAAGATTTGATGATTGTGTGATTATTTATGTTTTTTTTAATATGCGCTTTATACTGTTTATATAGTAAACATGTTTGTGTGTGAGGGTTGCTAGATAATCCAAATCCCTGTGAGAAAAAGAGGCAGCAGAGTTTCAGAGTCTACTGCTGCTCAGCCATTAGGGACCCAGTCACATCTTTTCTTAGGGCTTTTAAGGAGGGTGATGCCTCCTGCTTTGTGTAAACTGCTCCTAGAAGTCTCTCTTTCTTTGACTCTCTGAGCTAATATAATTTCAAGTCTTATGACTGCTGACCACAAGAAGCTTTTAAATGCGTAGTGTGATGGGTCGTTTGGGCTCGTTACCCACTGAATAGATAAAGTATTATAACAATTACTTATCTGAAGTAGCTGCACACTACAGTAATTAGGAAGTGCTCTGTTATTGGTTAGCACTCAGACCTTGGTAACGGTAGAATTTTCAGTCATGTTTTAAGTATGTTAGCTCACTAACATGTAAATCCTAACTGGGTTAGAACACAAGTTTGGTATACAAATGTGAGTATGTTTGTGTTAGGTGGTGACTGCCCTTGAAGCATAGATGCTGTGCAACATGTTGCATTTTTGTCAGCCTTGTCTAATAAATTAGTTGTCATGGGGAAAATATAGCTACAATTAACGTGAAACATTTAAAAAGTGTGTAGTTAAAAGTCTGGTTTAGGAGATGATGAATTTACCAAAATAACACAAACTAGTAAAAGGAAAAAAGCAATACCTTTTCTACTAATTTTCAAATTTCACTCCTCAGGGTTTATCTGAAGGCAGTTTATCTGGGCTATTGAAGAGATTTTTTAGCAATATGAAAGGGCGTTACTGGTGCTGGCTATACATAAGTCTTGACATTTAAGTTTAAGGTGTTGTATGGGAAATTCTGGCTTCAGAAATTTCTATGTCAAGGAAGTGAAATATTTTTAAAAAGTCAGCTTTACATGAAAAAGAGACTCTAAAAGATTTTTGAAGCAAAACTGAAATTTCTCTTTTTGTGTGCTTTTTTTAACAGTTCACTTTTAAAAAGCCAGAAACATGCAAGAAAGTTTGTACAAGATCATATGACCCAGCAAACAGTGCTGATAAAAGCAAACTGGCTTTTTTGAAGAAAGGAATGCAGTTGAATTATCAGCATCACTGGTAAGCTAAGCTGTGTGCTTGAGGCTGGGAGGTTTTTTTGCTGTCTTTTTACTTCATTGTCTATGTTCTAAGTGGTTGATTTCTTCCTCCTTCTATGTGATAGTTGTCCTCTGCTGTGCATCTTGTGAGCAGTACTGAAAACTATGTGCTAGTCGTCATGAAAACATGAATGTTCAATGTCAATGTGAAATAAGGTGCATCCTATTCTGAAGACATGTTCTTTGATGATTTCTGTCTAGGATTATTGATAACATGCCTGTAACGTGGTGCTATGATGTGGAAGATGGACAAAAATACTGTAATCCAGGATTTCCAATAGGATGTTTTGTTACTCCAGATGGTAGAGTTAAAGATGCTTGTGTTATAAATGTAAGTGGTGGAAATTTTTCCTTGGTATAGTAGTTGTAATTTCATTGACAGTTTTATTTCTAAGCTTTCTTTTCCTCAGAAAGAGCACATACCCTTGTAAACATGGTTAATGTTCAGAACGTGGGCGTGGACAAAGCTGAATGCTGCTTCTGTATGCAGCATCTCACTGATACAATTGTCCAAAAAATATGTTCATTTAGATCTTTTGACCACTATAGATAAAGCTATGAAACAACTCTATTGGTGTCTAAAAGCCTTAGAAAATTGAGGTTTTGTTCTGAAATTTAATGCGTTAATTCCTTGTCCATGTCTTATTTGTGTGCAAGACCTTCTTTTATTGATTTCAGATAGAAGCTTTCTAGTGAAGACCTAGAAATGAGCACTGTGTTCGAGTTGCAAAAGTTATGTCTGGCACAGTTTACAAGTTAAATGTGTCAGATTTTCCCAGATGGCTGGAAGATAACAAACACATCTGTGACAGGGAAAGAATTACATTGACAACAATTTGAAATGTGCCAGTCATTCTGGGAGTTCCATGGTGAACTAGTACAGTTACAGACAGTAGTGATACAGTCTTACCTCTCCCGAGGTGAGGGACCATGCTCTGCTGAGTGAGGAGAGGGCTCTCTGCACGACTGACTCCTTGCATGCAGTGGAGTAAATTTTTTTGTGTTCGGCAGGTCTGATGCTTCTTGGAAGTGATGCATTTATCATGTGTGTTCAGTTTACTCTATTTACCGCCACCTTCCAACTCAGTTACCCCTCGGGCTCCCTAGACTATAGAAAACAGTCTGTGAATTGAATAATCTGTTCTAGTTAGGTGTTCAACTCTATTACTTTGTATGTGAGGTCGTTTTTATGTTAAATTTATACTAGTGTATGTTGTGTTGGAAGCTATCTGGTGCACAGAAGACAGTTGGAGCAAAGTAACAACTTGGATGAAAAGTTAGTTGGCTTTTTTTTTAGGCAGGGGCCTTCAAACATAGGCAGCAATGGCTGAATTTTGTACTGAGTGCTGAGGGAGCTTGTACTGTGTATCCATGAGGTGCTGTGCAAACTGTGTGTGCTACCTGTGGTGTGGATGCTCTCCTAGTGTAGCTGTCACACACGGTGTCATCTCCAGTTTTAGTCTGTAGATTCTAATTGCAATGAGGATGGCATAGCACTAGAGGAATGACTGTCACATGGGCAAATAAGAATGTAGCACCATGGATATGACTGTAATCTCTGGGCTGAGTTGGGGAATGTGATTCTATTTTAGAAATATACCCAAATACCCATTCCTGCAGACATAATTATCCCTTTAAAAAGGGAGTCAGGAAAAGGATTGTTATCATGCAACAGCACAGCTACAGTTCATTGTTGTGTTTATGCAGCTGGTGAGCAGCTAGATTATTGCTTCAGCTGCTACTTTGGAGGTGGAGGAAACGGGTACCTAAAGATGGGGTTATAGTATGACACAGGTATGATTCTAGTCTTCTCCCCCAATGGGAATCTTGATCATAGTGAAAGAAGAGGAATCCAGATAAATGTAATGCAAGACACCTTCATATTTTGCTGGGGGTGGGGGCAGGGCACAGAAGTTTGTATGGCAATTGAAAAATGGCTAATATATACAATAATTTATTTTTTACTTGGAAACTCAACTAGCAGTCTGTCATCCTGGTCTGCTAATTCAAATTAAAGTTAAAATTTTTTAAACAATGACAGTGTTGAGGAGAAAAGGGAATACAGGCCAACTTAGTTGACTCTGGTATCATCTGGGCTTTCTATAGCTCTTTGTAATTCCAAATTGTGAAAGGATAGGGAATGACAAAGCAGAACAGGTACTGAAGGTGAAAGGTAGTTTTTTGAAGCAGAACCTGGTGTATAAGCTTTGGTAGCTGGAGTGTCTACCAGGAAGACTGGGGCGTGGGGGTGGGGTGAGAAATGGTGAATCTGAATTACTTGTACCTTGAATAAATACAGTTTTGAACTTGTTTTGGCAGCTTTTTGTGGTAAATACAAAACTGATGCCAAATAGCTTTAAATTTTACTAGTAACATGGATATGATAACTTATTATGTGGGTTATATTTCTATAACATAATATATAGAAAATTTTTTTTTTTACGGATATATTAAAAAAAGTGAATGTTGAAGTATTTGGTCTTTCTTGCTCATTTGACAGTAGTCTGATTTTAAAGTTCTTGACTGCTTGCGCCCCCTCCTGTTGGAGACATTTCTCAATCTTTTGATCGTATTTTGCAGTCAGAGTTTAACAAGAAGAATACTTTCTACCTCTTCAACCATGTTGACATAACAATCATGTACCATAGTGGGAAGGATGAAAACTGGCCTGGTGCAAGACTGGTGATGGCGAGACTGAGGCCGCAAAGGTAATTGTCCATTAAAGCAGCAAGTTCTAGTGCTAGGGAGTTTTACGACAGTAAGTTCTGAGGAACTGGTTATTCTGAATTCTGATAAAGCTTTCCATATACTGGTTCACAGCTGTAACTGTATTTACAAAGAGTAGTTGTACGACTGTAAGTGTCATTCCACTTTGCTTTTAAAATGGTCCCCAAAGTCCCTCCTGATGGAAAAACTCCTTGTGCAGACTCTTAGAACCTGACACAAACAATAGAAGCTTTCTCATGTTTTAGTTTATTTGTGTCTGGGTGTGCATTACTTTATTTCAAAAGTTATGTTTTCAGATACACTGAGAAACATCCTTTAAGTGAGTGACAGTTTCCCGTGTCCCCTCTTACTGTTGCTGTGTTGCTTCCTAAATGTGCTTTATATGAATGTACAGTATTTGTCCAGGTGTACTTTTTCCTCTGTTAGTTTGGATACTGAGGTATAGGTGAAATATCAGGTTAATACTGATATTCAGAACAGCAGAAGACAACAACTAGTTTTCTAAGAAGACTATCTTATTTTCTTAAACAGTAACTTCTGCATTTCTCTGTTGACCAGAGAGGAGGTGCAACAATTCAGAGGTCAGAAGCAGACTGAAGCGATTACTTTGGCCTCATGTCAATCTGTTCGTGTGCAGTTCATACTTACCTATATTTGAAAAGTGCAGTCCATTTATAAAATTTCAAAGTAGGTTGCTTTTTTTTTGGCTAAACTCTTCCCTCTTTTCTACAGAGATTAAGTACATTCTTAAATTAAGCTACCACAGTTTTCCAAGTCATGCAGATGTGTACGGTACAATGTGATTTAGATATACTTGTGTTTTCTGTTGCAATGGTAC